GAGAGTGACGGCTGCGATAATGTGGTGCCACAGAAATCAGAAACTATCAGGCTCACGGTTTGATAAAGAGGCTGTTAGACCTCTAGTTTGGACCCTACTCTCTCTTGTCATCTCTATAGCTGCCGCATCCTCGTAGGATCACAGCGACAATCATCAATCAGTTCACAAGAAACAGCGTGCAGGAGGTGGAGGGCTGTGCATTAACAAAATGCGAACATCTGCTCCGTGTAGACACATGTGTCGTTTGGTCCGTGACACAGAGCAGTCATTTTTAGAGGCAGGAACTCCGAGTACAGTGTGTGTGTGCGTGTGTGTGTGTGTGTGTGTGTGTGTAGCGGGCGGACTAAAAATAACACTCTCTGGTCTCAGTGGGAAAATTAGGTGTTTAATAAATCTGCTGAACTACATCTCCTGACAAGCTACAATTAAAAGACTCCGCAATACACATCAGCTATTCACTTCTTGGACATTTAAACATTTAAACATGCACCTCGGAGTCATATCCATCAACTGTTGAGTTTGACAAAGCAGACAGCCTCTAAGGTTACACCCCTACCCCCCTCCCCTGCACACACACACACACACACAGCATTACACATTTAAAGTTGTGTTTGGATATGTTTAGAATGTGTGTGATGAAATGGCACCAGCTGTGTACACTGGAGAGATGCACAAGGCCCCCTGGTTGAGCACAGTGTTAACCCCTTCCCTCCCGACGAAGCGAAGGGGGACAGCAGAGACAAAAGAAGCCTGGCACACTGTGGTTTGGACACAATAAGAGATTATTGCCCTGAGGTTTGCTGCTGTCAAAGTACAGTAATTCACCGAGACACTTCCCCCGGTTCCTTAAATCTTTTTTGTTTCAGGTTTTCCTGACATCTGCATATGTCAGTAGGACCCACATGAACCATAAGCAGGCCTCTGTTTCACCTACAGCACATTTGACAGGCTCTATAAAATCCTCTGATAACCGCAGCTACATCATCGTGTCAAGTCCTGAACAACTTTCTAATCATTGGTTTTACAGCAGCTGGTCTGTGATAGCACAAGTGTGCGGATGACAATATGCAAAGTAGAAAAGACAAAGGAGGGTTATTATGTGAATCCTTAGGAAGTCAGTCCTGGTTGGTTTGGTGACGTCCGTGGTTACTGGTGGTAGCAGCAAAGAGTGGTTTCATACTAAAACAAATGCAGCTAAAGCAGCTACCTTGGCCCAAGAGCCACTGCTGTATCTCTTTTTAATGCAACCAACCAAACCATTGAATTTGTTTTAATGAAGATGTCAGTCAGTTTTCATTACTCGACAAAGTTGGTTACCTTGCAAATGTAATTAGCTGATGAAAAATGCTAAAACTGTCAATTTTGTTTGCTTTGTTGATACACTGATGATGTAAGTTATTTTTTAATGCGGCGTGGGAATAGCGGATTCCAACAAGGTTAATAAAAATACTACACAGACAGAGGATTACTGACAAATAAACGGACAAAAATGGCATAAATACCATCAGAAAATGGGGTTCCATTAAAAACCTCTGCAGCTGATGATTGTGTTCATTACCAATTATCTGCCGATTATTCTCTTGATTAATCAGTCAATAGGAACTGTTTATCCGTGTTTCCTAAACTGCAAGATCAGGCCCTCAAATGTCATATTTTGTCCAAAAATATTTATATTACTGTCATAGAAATGTAAAGAAACCAGGAAATGCTGAATTTGAAATTTGAGTAATTTGACTATTTTCTTAGAAAAATGGCCCAAAACGATTATTTAATGACCAAAATAGTCGATTAATTGAATAGCTGAGAACAAATTGATTAATCGATGCAGCACTTCATCAAAAGAAGCTGACACTGATAAGAAATGTGATGATAGTTTGTTCGTACCTGTTTAAATGGATCTTTACTGAGCTCCAACGCTGCACGTTTGTTTACAACACTACATTTATAATTATGCTATGAAGCCATTTATGAATGTGTTTATCCATATCCATCTGCAACGGTGCTATTAAAATACTTTAATACAGTCAATTCCCAACTGCAAAGAATTATGATGTCTCAGTGGTGCTGGAATTAGTTTTGCAAATAAACCTCAAGTGCTAGCGCCAGCGCAGGTGAAGAGTTTGTATTAACATCTGTTGGTGATTTCTTGGCGCCTGGAGGTAATGAAAGCACACACTAAATGGATACTGTATCTGAAACATTATTAAACCTTCAGGAAAAAAAGACCAGATGGCCATAAATATGGGAATAACACTGGGTCTCTTTCATGAAACCATTAAAGTCAATCACATTTGACTTTTATAAATACCAAAAACCAGTCAAATACCAACAGCTCCTCGTCTTTGGTTGATGCTGTGCATGACTGAGGAGCTTCCCAGAAAAAAAACACGCAACTGTCTCGCATCACTGACATCTCAAAAATAAGAAATTAGACAAATGGGAACGAGATGCACAATTATATATATATATATATAAGGCCATGTATTCGGTTTAAGATTTCCAAACTTTAAAAGGCAGCTTTTATGCATTTCCCTGACTAAAACCAGGTGTTCTGAGCACAAAGCAAACGGCCAGGAAAACTAAGAGTCATTATCAGATAAATTGAAAACAACGCAACCTGCAGTAACAACCAATCAGTAAAAGCAGGAGCCTCGGTGGGTTTGCCCTCGAGCATAGCTGATCCGTGTTCAACCTCAAGTCGAGGTAGTTTAAGAGAGAGGGACCCTACTGTGACAGCCCTGTCACCCACCCAAACACTGCAGTTAATGTTTGAAAGTCCCAGAAATGAAACGCTACATATTGAGTTCTGATAAAAGGAACCATGTTTAATTCTATCAGATTACAGCGAGGGATTTTTCTTGCTAAACACATTTTATGAGCATTATTCAGCTGTGTGAAGTTGTGGCATGTTTCTCTTCAGCACCTCTGCTTCTCCTTCATCTCAGTGCCAAAAAAACAGGCAGCTTCATTAGTCATGACTGCAGCACCTAATTAGGTTTGTGCCACTCGTTTGGATTTTTCTGTAAATTTAAAAGAATCTCTGATGTTTCAAAGTGCCTCTGGGCCCTTCTGTCTCTGTTGTCATTAAAATTGAACATTTCCTGCGCCAGCGTTTTGGGAAGGGTATTGCCTGTTTTCAAATCAAAACTGTGAATCTAGTGAAAGTTTTGCTGTTTGCAAAAGGTGCTGTGACAGCTTATAAATAGATTAAAGAAGTAATGCTTCAGTTCTGTGTGACTTGTAAGCATGCCACATCTTTTGGATGACTAACCGCTCTGCATTGTGCTACCTTTCAGCGAGCTGATTCAAATAAATTGGAGGCTTATTTGAAAGATGCATGCAAAAGAGCCTATTTGTTCACCGTGGAAAGGCATTGTAATTAGCATGAAATGCATGCTTTGTACTCTCCCTCCCTCTCTCCCTCTGTCTCTCTCTCCAACATAACTGGTAGAGATACTGGATAAGCACCTTCTCAACACCCTCCCTCCCTCCCGCTCGCTTGCTCGCTGCCTCCTTTTGCATTGTGGCCAATTACTGTTACAGATGGAAAATTTCACTTGACCTGGGGAATTTATGAGCAGGAATAAAATCGCACTTCGACTCTTACACCAATTCAAAGCAATGTAGTTAAAGTTTCTCAAGGCTGATGAAGACATGATGAAATTGGGCACATATGACAACTTGGCCACATGACAAAGAGCTGATGAAACAGTGAGACAAACCTGGTAACTGTTTTGAGCAGCATCAGATTGCAAACAGAGCTGCACTATAGGGCTGAATTATTTGAGGAGGGGGTCGTAGTGCATGCGCGTGTGTGAGTGTGCATTGTGTGTGTGTGTGTGTGTGTGTGTTCGAGCAGGGGTGGGGGATGTAGGAGGTACCATTGTTTAGACTTCATAAAAACCACACGCAGCAGTTGTGTGATTTTTTTTTTTTTTGTGTCTGTCATAATGATGCTCCTCGTTGCCGGTCTACATGGGAGTCGAGCTGCTGATGGATCGCAGGCCTAATAATTCAAGTGTTACATCACAGACTAAATATCACAAACCATCAACTGTGTTTTACATAAGCTCTGCCTCGCGTTGTGAGACTCAATAAACTTGTCATACCGCAGCAATGTTCTTATTCACAACTCAGACACAGAGCAGCTTGTGTACACACACAGAGAGAGGAGTGAATGAAACAACTTGTAAACGCTACGTAACCTGGCAGCGAAGAGATAAAACTGTGCACAGTGTGACAAGTCTGAGGGTATAACTGATGCCATGTGTAAGATAAGTGCACAACACAGCGCAATGCTGACAATGATTGCATTCATGCTGAACAGATAAATAGTGAGCTGTCTATTCCTCTTACTGCCTGCGCATGTTTTTCTAATTTTCTAATTAAAGTTGAAAATTGATCAACAGAGAGTTCATTCTGAGGGCTGTCTGCAAAACCTATCAACAGCATGCTAGTTAAGATACTCAGAATAAAGTTAAATACCCTGTAACTGACTAAAGGATAGGGGGAAACTATTTGTACAACATGCATGATGGAGCAGAGCAGTTCATTCCATACACAGCATCTTATTTTCATCACATTGTGACTGTACTGTGGGCTGCTGATGCAATGATCCACCTCTGATGTTGAGGAACATGAAACCATAAAGGCAACAGCGCCCATGACTGTGGATCACATCCCTCTGGTGAGAGTTTAGCAGTGCAGTGGGGGACAAAAAAGTAACACACACACTCACTACACTTGTCCTGTGCTCCCATTTCCACTCCCAGTACACAAAGTTAGTAGTAGCATCGGTTGTGGGGGGGGGGGAGTATTAATTATGCAACTTCAGGAAGACGACAGGTTGAAGGAGGTTAGTGGAGAGGAGGTCAAATTAAATTAACTTCATTTTAGACTAGAGTTGTACTTGTTAAGGCTGCGGTGCGTTCACGGCACCAACGTGGTCGCAAAACCAAGCGCACAAAAATAAATAATAATAATAATAATAGAGAACTCACCTTATTGAAGTTGTAGTAGCCCAGACAGTGGGCAAAATCCAGGTTCGGTGGCTCTCCTGGAATAGCATTCCCACCGGCAGTCGGATAAAATCTTACATCCATGTTGAGTGAGTGGAGCCGCGCAGCTGTAGCCGTTCTGCACCGAGCTCTGTGCGTTTGTGCCGTTTACAATCCAGGCGCGCACCAGACAGATGGAGCACAAGAGAGAGGCGGCGGAGCTGACCCGAGCTCTGTCGGGGTTCAACGACACAACTACGGCAGAAAAGGGAAAGGAGAGCAAGGTAAAGTTTTGGTATTCCTCTCCTACGCCCGCTTCATTTCTAAAGACACGCAGGCTGGACTGAGCCCAAGAAGAAGCTGGTGTCCCTCACAGAGCAGCAGACGCGCTGTGTCCATGCATTTACACACAGCTGCTGCTGCTGCTGCCGCTGCTGCTGCCGCTGCTGTATACAAAGGAGCCACGAGACCGGCGGCTGAGCGTGGGTCCACCTCCTCTTCCTCCTCCTTCACGCGCAGGGAGAAGAAGAAGAAAGAAAAAAAACACACACAAACTGGAAATAAAGTGTCGAGGAAAACCGCGAAGTAAAAAGTCCGCACGTCAGGAACAGGAGCTACAGCGGGACTCGTCCGTCTCCTCTGTCAGAAGTTTTTATCTGTCCAACTTAGCGAACTAGTTGGAGCAGCAGTTGGAGGAAGAAAGTAGCTAGCTGGCCCATCTGCTAAACACGGCGTTTGTAAAACAAGCAGCAGAACAACACTCCACAGATGGTGCAATTAGCGAGTGTGATGTAGTACACAAGAGTATCCCGCTCAGCCCTCGGCTCTGCCTGTCGGAGTGATGAACAAGGAGAAATGTGTGAAGGAGCCGGCCACGCCCCAAACACGGCAGGCCCCGCCCACCACAACGCTGCACGCTCCCGACATGAGGCCTCTGATGATTAATCACAATTAAGGCTCTTTACTTGCGCTCTACCTGTGTTTTATTATTCTAACCTACATCATTTATTTATATCATTACATCAAC